GGGGTCGTGAGGGCTTGTGCACCGCCATCCCTGGGTCCTTACAGCGAAATTTTAAAAGAATTAAGTTTACTATGACGTATCGACAACAAGTGCAACTGGAGATTCGAGAAGGGTGAGGTCCCAATAAGACCTCAAAAGGCTTTGTGGAAAAAGTGGGACTTTGTGCGAGCACAATTTAGACATGGAAGAAGGGGTAGAAGTGTGATGGAAATAGAAAAGAAAGGCAAAGTGGAGAGGAACATCGGAAAGGAGGTCAAGGTGTGGATTTGAGAGTGGTGACAGACACGGCAACGACTAAGAGTTGGGATTTTAGCCTTAGGACAACAGGGAGCTAGTACAAGTGGGAGCAGGTGAGGAGGGAGGTGTTCCCCCATGAATGCAACAAAATACCCATTTCTCTTCAAAATGAATTGTGGACAAGCAGCAAGGAGTTATGAAATTCCTGCTTTATTAACCAATTATTCATTATGGCCACTGTTTACTTTCCACTTCTTAGTGGTTGCAATGGCTTCTTTGCATTCTTTGTGTCCACCTTTGCACTTCTTTATCCTGTTCTTTACAGGGCAGCTCAGAAATATTCTGATGTCATGAATCAGAAAGGATACTAGGAAGGTTTTTGATGAACATGTTTTATTTTGATTGTGATGATAATTTCATGGGTATATAGATGTCAAGACATTAAATTGTACACTTCAAATATCTGCAGTTTGTCATTTATACCTCAAAAAGCTGTTAAAAATAAAATTGAAAAATCAAGTTATTTTTTTCTGTTTAAAAACTTTGGTAAGTAGTGGTAGAGGCCCTGGTTCATCTCCAAAACTTGTAAACAAACACCAGAAACAAACCTTATTATAGCTTCCCTTTTCAATCATAATAAAAGCCAAAGGTCTTATAAAGGTCTGCAAGGCCCTGCATAGTCTCTCCAGTCACAAAGAACCCTTCAGTATTTACTCCACAGTCACACCAGGGTATGCTGAGTTCCCAACTTGAAATTCTGGGTATCCAAATGGCTCCTTCCTTTACAATTTTCCCTCCATGAAGCTTCTGTGATCACTATCTATCCCCCTTCACTTCCTTGCTCTATTTTTCTTCTTAGCATTTATTAGCATTATTAGTGTTTATTATTATTTAATATGTTTTTCTTTTACATATTGCTAATACATACTTGGTTAATTTTTCATTTGCATTTCCCACTAGAATGAAAGCTTTCAGAGGCAAATCCACCACTATCCATTGTGTTCACAGCTTTATCTCCAATGCCAGGCACATAGTGGGTATTCAATAAAAAAATTTCTGGATGAACAAATAAGTAAGTCCAGGTGGCAGTGTTGGCAGCTTAGATTAGGGTTTTAGCAATGTAGATGGAAAGGGTTGTATCTGAAATTCTCCAAAGGAAAGTTAATAGAAGAAATTAGCCAGGGACTGGATTTGTGGGGCTTGGGCAAGAGGGTGAATGAGGAATTTGGGAGGTAGGCATGTCTTACAGTAGTTTCAGGAATGGCAAAGTGAGCTGGTCAGACAGAAAGGAGTGGTGGGGCTAAAGTATCATGTCCCAGAGTTGTCTCGGTAGATGTGAGAGTTGGGAATACTGGAATGGATGAAACCTGAGCAGATGTAGAAATAATGAAAGCTGAAGTTGCTGAGTATGGTGACACGCACTTTAATCTCAGATACTAAGGAAGCTGAGGCAGGAGGATCCCCAGTTTGATGCCAACTTCCACAATTTAGTGAGACCCCCTCAAAATAAAAACATTTAAAAGGGGGACAGCAAAAATGGGGGCCTGGAGTTGTGGCTCAGTGGTAGAGCACTTGCCTAGCATGTGTGAGGCACTGGGTTTGATTCTCAACAGTGTGTGTGTGTATGAATAAAATAAAGGTCCATCAACATCAAAAACAAAATATAATAAAAGGGGGGGCAGCTGGGGATGTCGCTCAGTGTTGGAGCTCTTGCCTATTATGTTCATGGCCCTGGCTTCAATCCTCAGTATGAAAACAAAAAGGAAAAAGAAAGGAAGAAAGCTCAAGTCTGTGCTCTGAAGAATGTTTGTACACTTCAGTAGAAGGAGCAAAGTCAGTGAAGGAGAGATGTAAGCTGTGACAAAGTCCAAAATACAAAATAATAGAATATTACAGAAGCCAAAAGAAAGGACATTTCAAAAACCATCGATGATCAACAAAGTAAAACATGTTAGGGAAGGCCTGGAAAGATATGCCAGACACTAGAAAAGAAAGTGTCACTATAGGGAAGCCAGTTTGCACTGTGTTAATACAAGAATGAATGATGAGGACATGGGGGCAGTGGACATGGACAGCAAAAAGGAAAAGAAAAACATAATTGTTTTTTGGAGAATCAGGCAATGATTATGTTCATATGATGTCAGTTGGGGCCAGGAAGAACTAAGCTGATAAATGATTTAGGAGTGGGAACCATCTTGAATAAAGGACATGGATTAATGACAGGAAGGAGGGAATAAGAGTAGCGGCTAGGGTTTGGCTTCTTCCTATGAGGCTACAAGCTCAGACTGAAGACTTGGGGGGCACAGATACAAAGAATATGGTAAGACACATCCAATGTGGTGTGTATTAGGAGGCGCTCACCCCAGTGCCTCAATCTTCAACCTGAACTAGCAGGAACTATCCTTTCCCTGAGAATCATAATCAGAGAGGTAGAGGCAAGAAGAGAATTTCCCTACCTCTGTGGCTGACAGAACTGGATGCCCTCTGTTCTTGAAGTGGGATACTGAAATTAAAAAAAAAAAAAAAATCTCAGGAGATTCATATGTACTATTGAGTTTGTGATCATTCTTCTCAAAGGGTCAACTGAGCAATCTCTCGGTGAGAAGCAGTGCCATCTATACTCACCTCAAAAAGAAAGGGATGTACAGTAAGCCAGTTATGCATGATGTTTCTTTTTTCTTTAATTGATTTGCCCATTGATTTATTAAAAAAGATTCATTCAACTTGAAATTACTCACTCCCTCCCCAACCACCCCCCTGAGCAGAGAAGGGAGTGGCAAACTCCTAATCTGCAGGCAAGCCCCCTGTCAGAGGCCGCACTTCTTGGCTGGCTATCTCCCTAGGTTCTCTGTTCCCAATCAGTTGAGTCTAGCCTATGCTATTTCTGAGTGTTTTGCCTCAACAGCAGAGACTACACATTTCCTTATAGCCTCCAGCAGCTGCTAAAAAAGGGCAAGTTTCTGGAAGGGATAGGGAAGGTGATGATGTAAATTTCCTACACCAAGATAAAAACACAGCTGCCAAATTGATAGAAGCCCCCCAGTTTCAGAAGGTCTGTTTCTGTGAGCAGGACTGAGGACAAGCTGGAGAAATTGGATGATAGAGGTGGCCAACTCTGGGGAGATTATCACATATTATTAATGTCCACTTCCTCCCCCCATGGCTCAACCAACCCCTTCAGACTGAGGATTTTGGGAACATCGAGGGGTTGGTAGTTTTGGGTGAGGAAAAAACCCATTTGTCTCTTTTTTAATCTTCCTGCCCAGATGCCCAAATATCATTCTTCATTCCCAGGAGGAAAAAGACCCGCTCACCCTGCCTCAGGCGCCAGGCTGCCAGCCCATCTGCTGGGGAGAAAGGAGGGACCAGTTTTTCCCAGGGGATCCTGGGGAATCTATTGGAAGTTCAGTGCTCCCAGGGAGATCCATTTACTGGACTTAGAAGGCATTTCGGTTCACACGGGAAACCTGCAGGGTAGAGCGAACCTTGGAGTAGACTCGGGTTAGGGTAGGGGACTGGCACAACGGGGCGGGGTCTTTTGGCCACCACGTGCCTGAGGCAGGCTGTGCAGCTCATCGGTGCCCACCCGCTGTGGGATGATAAGAGTGCCCCCCTCCCCGCGCCCAGTCTCACCGGCTCGGAGGCGCCAGGCCCCCCCCCAGGGCCGGGGCGGGCTGGGGAAGGTAATGTAATTCCGGCCCAGCTAACCTGATTATGGCGGCCTGCACCGGGCAGGGTGGCGGCGGGGGCGGGTCTAAGGCTCTGGGGCCCTCCCGGCCAGGGTCCCATCCCGAGGAAGGACGCAGAGTTCACACACTCCCAGCTTCTGGGTTCTCCGCCAGAGGTCACAAGGTCACCAAGCGGTTTCAGCCTTTCTCCAGCTCCCTTCGCTGGCACGCCCCAGGGTCATTTTCTGGGGTTTGGTTGGGATAAAGTGTGAATGGGAAACTGGGGGTCCGGGATCCTCCCAAGGCCTCAGCGAGTCCCTCGTGCTGCCGGTGGCGATTTTGTCCTCCGGTCTTTAAGAGGGGAAAGTATGCGAAAAGACCTCTTGGGCTCAGAATAAAGGGGCAGAATCCCGCCTTCAGGCTTCCCTGCACTGGGGATGATAAGTCGGCCAAGGTTGAGCAAAGGGTTTGATTTGCAGCGATTTCGGAAAATCGAAATTCTAAGAAACATGGCACCAATTACCGATGCGCCCGGACAGGACCGGTTGCTCTAAAGGAGAGGTCAGGAGGTACACTAAGGATCAAGAACGCGGAGTGTTTGTCCCCGGACCGAGCCCGCCGAACTCGCCCTGCCATTCCCTTCCCACACCTGTCCTCTTCTTGGGCCTCTAGATCGCGGGTTGCTGTTCCTCAACCACTTCGTACGCAGCCGGGAAGCCTCAACGAGATTTGATCTTAGAGAACACTTAGGTGGGGGTCATAACGAATCCAGGAGTTGGCAAGAAGGACCCATCGGGAGGTGAAGAGTGGGGCCTGGGGAAAGAAGCACCTGCCGAGGAAGCCGGTGAAGCGGAGGCAGCCCAAAGGCGGAGGCCAGAAAGGATGGAGGCGACGTGAGCATCTTGGCTGACTCAGCTGCCCAAGCTCTGGCCCCTCCCGCGCTGAGCCTTGTTCCTAACATCCTCCCCTCCTCTGCCTCCGCCCCGCACATCCCGCCGGGTGTTTGGCGCAAACAGGCGTCCTTTCCCCTTTAACAGTCGGGCCCCGCCCCTGCCCTACCCCCAGCCCCCACTGCCCACCCGGGGCCGGTCTGTCAGTCATTGCCCCAGTCCGAGCTGGCCAACCCTCTCCACCCGAGACTTGGGCAGCGACCTCGGCAGACTAGCGTCCATCTGTGCTTCGGAGCCAGCAAGGGAGCTCGGGGGCCCCGGCGGGCCGCGTTCCTCCGGGATGCGAGCCCCAGTGCAGACGCCCGGCAGGGGCGGGCAGCCGCGAGGCTTTTCCAGGCGCACAGGGTTGCTGCTGTTCTGGGGGGCCCGGCGCCCGGCTGTGGCCAGCCTCGCTGGCCCTTGAGGCCGCTGACCTGGGCGCGCCGCCGCTGGGCTCCCAGAGCTTTATATCTGCGGCACTCTACTTATCCACGGAACCTCCTGAGGTCTTCCCAGGCTCAGACCCATGGAGCCCGCGGTGCTGGCTCCACACAACCTTGCGCACCACGAGCCAATCAGCTTCGGCATCGATCAGATTCTGAGCGGCTCCGAACCCCCGGGGGGTGGCCTAGGCCCGGGTCGTACCGGCCAGAGCCACAGCGAGAGTGCGGCATTCTCGGGTGGATTCCACGGAGCCTCGGGTTATGGCCCTGCAGGTTCTCTGGCCCCGCTGCCCAGCAGCTCCGGAGTGGGGCCGGGTGGCGTGATCCGCGTTCCGGCTCATCGCCCGCTGCCAGTGCCGCCGCCCGCGGGAGGCGCCCCTGCGGTGCCTGGGCCCTCGGGTTTGGGCGGCGCCGGGAGCCTAGCTGGACTCACCTTTCCATGGATGGACAGCGGCCGACGCTTGGCCAAGGATCGGCTCACCGGTGAGGTTGCCCGACGCCTCCAGCGTCATGCCACACTCTGACCCTTTTCCTCTTTTCTTTCTGCTCCAACTCAGGGACCTCTTTTTTACTTCCCCTCAGATTATCTCGGGGGATCCTCCTCCACCCCGGACCTTTTGATCCTGCAGATGAGAGCAATGGGGAGGGAGCTGTCGTCGGTGCCTGTACCGCCCTACCTTGCAATTCCACTGTCCACACTGCGGGGTGGGCAGGGTGAAGTTATGGGGGACATCTCTCCTTACTCATGCGGAGGGCCGTTGCTTCCGATATCCCTTCTTGTCTGGATGCTTCTGCTAATGCTGGGCCGAGCCTGGGGCCCGGGTAAGGACCAGGGTCTCTTCTCAGCGATACCTCGGGCCACCCCGCAAACCCTACCCTGCTCTTTTTTCCTCCCCATAGCAGCGCTGTCGCCCTTCTCTGGGACGCGCCGCATAGGCCACCCTTACCAAAACCGGACCCCCCCGAAGCGGAAGAAGCCGCGCACGTCCTTTTCCCGCTCGCAGGTGCTGGAGCTGGAACGGCGCTTCCTGCGCCAGAAGTACCTGGCCTCGGCCGAGAGGGCGGCGCTGGCAAAGGCCTTGCGCATGACCGACGCACAGGTGAAGACCTGGTTCCAGAACCGACGCACCAAGTGGCGGTGAGCTAGGGCGGACTGGGGCCCGCGGGGCCGGCCAAGTGGCGGTGAGGCGCGGGGTGGGCGAGGACCGCCTCGCTGACCCCGCATCTCCGCCCGCCCAGGCGCCAGACCGCAGAGGAGCGCGAGGCCGAGAGGCACCGCGCGGGTCGGCTGCTCTTGCACCTGCAGCAGGACGCGCTACCACGGCCGCTGCGGCCGCCCCTGCCGCCGGACCCGCTTTGCCTGCACAACTCGTCACTCTTCGCGCTGCAGAATCTGCAGCCTTGGGCCGAAGACAACAAAGTGGCTTCTGTGTCTGGGCTTGCCTCGGTAGTGTGAGCTTCGCCTGCTGGATCCGCCGAGCTCTCTTTACCGGACCAAGGCGCCGCGTGGAACGCCCGTTTCGGGCAGTGGAGCGCGGCTGCTTAGGCCCATGGTTTCCTGGCAGCCGGGTGTATGAGAAGCAGCAGGAATTCAGATTATCGTCGACGGCTCTTTGGCCACCGGGTGGGCTCCCAGGCCCCCATCGAGTAGACTCCCAGGGTGCTCACGCAGGGCTTTTCCCGCCATTTTTCACAGTACCGCATCTAAGCGGCCAGTGGAACCTGAGGTGTGAAAGGGCGGGACCTATAGGTTGATAGCCAATAAGGTGCAGGGAGGGGGATGGGCTGGCCAATGGTAGCTACTCTCTTCAGGGACTAAGGGTTCTGCGGTGAATAGGCTCAGAGCCCTGGACTGAGTACTGAGAGCAGCAAGTGGTGCTGGGAAGGGTTGGCTGCAGCAGGTGCTGTCTAGGGTTACAACAAAGGTGTGAAGAAAGGAAGACAGCAACAACCGAGAAATAATGGAGAAGGTGCTGGAGCGCCAGAATCTGACTGATCACGACAGGGACCAGAGGGTTGTCATGTTGGGCATCTCATCCCTCAACTGTAAAATAATAGCTAAGGATTCCTTCTTGACTTTGAGTCTCATGTTGTACTATGTTCAATCTGCTGGCTGTATTCTCCTTTTCGAGCTTCACAGTGCACTTGGTTGCAGGTGAGAGGAATACTTATACATCAGACAAAATATAACATCTACGAAGAAAATCTGGCTCTGGTGTCCCACAGGGACAGAAAAGGGAGAAGAGGAAACTGGGCAAAATTAATGGGTCCATACTGAGCATAGTGGCACAGGCCTGTAATCCGGGCTATTCAGGAGGCTGAAGGAGAAGGACCACAAGTTAAAGGCAGCCTCGGCAACTTCGAAAGACCCTGTCTCAAAGAAGGGGATGGGATGGGGGGAGGCTAGGGAAGTAGCTCAGTGGTAGATTGAGCTGGGTAGATAGTGCTAGGTTCAATTCCTAGTACCCACGGTGGGAGGGGGATGGAGAGAAAGTTAATGGGCCCAGTGGAATTAGGGTGACCAGAATACTTTGGAAATAATAAGACTAAAAAAAATTAAAGATAATTTCAGATGGGAAACATGGAGAATCAAGAAATCAATGGTGCTGAGGATGATGAAAGGGGGAATTGGGAAGTTTAATAGTAAGATTAACTCTAGGCAAAACGAATGTTAGACCTAGAAAGAATAAATTCTGGAAAAGTATCTTTGAGAGACATAAACTGACATCCCCATACAGATGAATATAGAAAATGATGAGAACAGACAGAATCTCCGAGAGGGTATTCGGAAGAAAAGCAGAGTTCTAAGGATTAAATCTTGTTTTCCAGCCAAATTCCACAAACATATTTATAATGTGCAAGATGATGAAGAATATCAAAGTTAATAGTCCAAGGGCAAAATGGGAGAAGGTATTCATAGCCATAAAGAAAGAATGTTCCTTAAGTGTCAAGTTCAGCCAGAGGCTGCTGGGATGCTTGTTGATGGTGAGCTCAGTGAGGGGATGGTTGTAGTAACTGTCAAGTTTAAAAAGGAGTAAGCTCTAAGTTGTATGACAAAGGAAAGATTCTGTCTGATTCCTCTAGCACTCCCATTCTTCCTCCCCTGGAGGCTGGAATATTGTGACAGAGTAAAGAGAGGCAGGGCCGATGATAGCCAGACTACTCATATTCTGTGCTTATGTTATGTCAGACAGCATAAGGCTTGACCAGGGGTGGGAGCCAGGCAAGAGGTTCCAGGAGTTGGCCCCAGATCTTTGAAATGATGTCATTTCTTCATGCTTGTTGTACATTCTGCTGCAAAATCAAAATCAAACTTGGCATCATAGAAAAATCTTTTATAGATCAAAAGGGAGTACAAGAATGGATCTGACATAACTTGGTAGAATGGGGAGCATGTCAGTCCCTGGCAAATAAGGAAAGCAACAAGAAGGCTAAGGGAAGGATTCTACCCGATATAGATTGTGGCTTACCCCATTCCCTCTACTCCTTTTAGATTCCAGAATTTACATTGACCTTAAACTCTGGCTTTCTAAATCTAGTTGTCTGCTTTGGTGTTAGCCTGAAGGAGGACCATGAGTTGAGCTCAGCTCTAATCCTTAGGTAGGCAGGTCACTGCAGGACACAGGCATCTCTGAACTCCTGGGTGGAGGAAGATTCACTCTCTGCCGATGAATCTGCCATTTCTTTCCTCAATTGGTTCAGGAGATCTCTGCTCTCACTGGGGGGCAAGTTACTCAGGAAATATGGAGGGGCCAACTCCACCAACCTGACAGAGAGAATCATAACAAGATAAGCACTATCTTCTCTTATAAAGCAGACTCTTGAACTTCCTACAACCCCTTCCATGAGCCCTCTCCCCTCAAACCACTAAGATCTCTTCTTCTTAAGTCTCTCTAACTTCACAGTTTTAGTTTTGGTCCCAGGTAGAGGAATGGGCAGTGCAGGAGGTGTGTCAGGAAACTCACATCTGAGGTTGAATTTCAGAAACAATGGAAAGGCAGTTGTCTTTGGATATGGAGAAACTGTGGTATAGCACCCATTGTGGGGGTCTGGCTGGAGGACGTCGATTTTGGTAGCAGCAATTTGAGGAGAGCTGGGCCACATGCTTATGGGTTAGGAGCAGGTAATTTCCAGTCCCATCTGTGTCTCGGGCCACCTCATTGAAAGACAAAGATATTGAAGGAATAAGTAAACAGAAGAGGCAGAGAGTAGAAAAAAGACAAGGGGGCCGAGAAAGAATTAGTAGGGGTAGTGAGAGTTTTAAAAGTAAAAATATTACCTTTGGGTGTTGTCTCTACATATGGTATTTCCATAGTCCCTTGTACTCCAAAAACTCAGAGGAATAGTCCCTCTTGGTTTTATATATTCTGAATGGTACTTGCACATAAATATCTGTCTCCTCTGTGTTTATCATTCTCACCCCAAATTTCAGAGGTAGCATATAAATATCTGTCTCCTCTGTGTTTATCATTCTCACCCCAAACCTTTCCCCTAACCTTGAGGAAGTATCCTGACACCAGTGCTTTCTGAAGGTTTCTGCGATTTTGTTCAGAGCCAAAGGCTGGTTGGGTCAAGGGAAGTTCAATTTGCTGCATGAGTTCTTGGAGCTCTCCCCGAAGTTTACAGGCTTGGCACAATGCTGCCCAGTTTAGACCCCGAGCCTGACACCAAGCCTCATTTGCTCCACCTAGGAGAGGAAAGAGACCAGCTACAACTGACGTCCTTGAGGCCTCCTAAAGGATACAACCTATGGCCAAAAGGCCTCCTCTTCCTGAGCTCAGAGATCTGTCAGATGGTTGCACACCACTTTCCTTTTTGAAAAATCTGGGATTAAGAAGGAGCAAAGTGGGCCACTCACTTTGTATAAACGCTTCATAAACCTGGATCAGAGAGCTGTGGTCACCATCGGGGTGTTCCAGACCCCGACGCAAGGCAGCTTCTTCCGCACACAGTGGAGGACGAGTAAACCCAGGGGCAACTGGAGGTTGAAGAGAGGAAGGTGGTTTGAGGGAATGAGAAAGGATAGTAGTACAGGTGTAATATTTAAAAGGTACAAATGCCCCTTTGGGAATTTTATTCAAAAAACATTGGTAACTTCTGCATACTCTGCACTTTATTAGACACTAGGGATTAACACAGTTGGCCTCCATATCTATGGGTTCTACATCTGTGAACTCAAACAACTGTGGATCAAAAATATTCAGAAAAAAACTGCATCTAAACAGAAAATGTATGGTCTTTTTTTGGTTATAATTCCTTAAAAATATAGTGTTTACATTGTATTTGGTTTTATAAGTAATCTAGAGATGATTTAGGATATATAGGAGGATGTGCATGGTTTACATGTAAATGCTATGCCATATATATATATATATATATATATATTTTAAATATTGTTGATAGAACTTTATTTATTTATTTTGTTTTTTATTTGTATGTTGTGCCTCATGCATACCAGGCAAGTGTGCTACCGCTGAGCCCAGCCCCAGCCTCATATGCCATTTTATTATAAAAGACATAGGCATCAGTGGATTTGGGTATCCACAGTGGGTCCAGGAACCAATCTCCCATGGATTCTGAGGAATGGCTGTAAATGAAGGAGTCTCTTGCCCTCAAGAAGATTAATTGGTGGGAGAGACCAACAAGCAAGCAGACTTGATAAGTATGATAGGTATATATATATACTACTTTGGAAACACAGAAGAGGGCAGCTTTGGGTGATAGGAGCATGATATAAGAGAAAAGGTGATATAAGAGAAAAGGATGAGGGCTTTGGGGCTAATTTTTGAAATTCTGAATAGGAATTATTAGTTCAGTGGGGATATTTGAGGCTTTGGGAACAGCATGACTATTAATCAAGGTTAACAACATGGCACATTGGGGAACTGTAAGCCACCTGAGGCAATGGCATGTGGCAGAATAGCAGGAGCTAAAGCTAAAGGTAGGTATATGCAAGGTCATGAGAGTCTGAATGTGTTGTGCGAAGAAGTTTTTTAGGGGTGTGTGTGTGTGTGTGTGTGTGAGAGAGAGAGAGAGAGAGAGAGAGACCAGGGATTGATCCCAGGAGAACTTTTTACCACTAAGCTGCATCCCCAGCCCTCCCCCCACCTTTTCTCTTTGATACCGGGTCTCACAGAGTTGCTGAGGATGACCTCAAACTTATGATCCGCTTCCTCAAGTTGGTGGAGTTACAGATGTGTACCTACATATATCTTGAAGGTAAAGAATAGCTGTTGAAGGTTGTAGCTGGGGTTTTAGCTCAGTGGTAGAGTGCTTGCCTAGCATGCATGATGCACTGGGTTTGAGCCTCAGCACCACATAAAAATAAATAAATAAATAAAGGTATTGTATTCATCTACAACTAAAAAAAATTAAAAAGAATAGCTGTTAAAGAGGAATTTTTTAATAAGGGGGTCCATACATTTGAAAATATTCACATGACTAGTTAGGAGACTACTAATTCAGTGAGCAATGAGGACCTAA